CCCCCCCCCGCACCCTGTCTGCGCTGCCTGCTCCCCCGTCCTATTGTCGCCCATCTTTGCTGCTCCCCTTCCGCAGGGTGTTCCCTGCCCCCTCCCCTGCCCGTCTCACCTCCCGCCCAGAAGTGACCACTTCTCACCAGCCACTTGGCCTGTGGTGGCTGACCTCGCTGCGAGCTGGGTCGCAGGGCAGCCTGCACTCCAGCTGCTAGTAGCATGCGCCAGTGGCGTGCCTCCTCCGCGATCCTCCGACCTGGGCGGCGATCATTTTCGAAGGAGTCCCGCCCGCTGGCTGGCCGGGCGCTCTGTCGTCCGGATGACTCGACACCCTGTGCCGGGGCCCCTGCCTCCGGGGACGCCCCCACCGAGGACAAGGCCGATGATGGTGACGATCCCCACAAAGCGACTCCCCCCTCGGAATGTGACTCGAATCTGAACTCCCTCCTCACTCAGAAGGGCTTCCTCTCGAACAATCAGCTTGACAGCCTGGCCTCGGCCCTTGCGACGGCCGTCTTGCGGGATCCCTCCATCCTGGGCCCGGCGGCGCTACCGCCCCCCCGTATCCTTGCTCCGAGTGTCCCGGGCCGGTCCATGGTGGATGCCACTTTCCTGGACTCTCGGAGTCTCTGGCGAGAGACCGGCCGGCAGGAAGTCCCCCTCCCCTGGCATGATGGGGATGATCCGGCTCAGGAGGAGTACCTGGCGCGGCAATTCGAGCGCGCGAGCAGTTCCGAGGATTTGGACGACCCGGATTCGGACTTGCATCCTGACAGCGACATGCCCGAGCTGGAGGCCTATCCGGGCCGAATGACCGGGCCGGTCAGCTTGAGTGGCTTCCGGCGGCAACTACGCACCCGAGAGGTGATGGCCGTCGAGCAGCGGACTCCAATGAGCCATGCTCTGACGCTGCCACTTCACAGTCCGGCCCGGCCGCCCGGCGCGGCCCCGCCTCCCCCGTTGAACATCCTGTTCGAGCGCTTCCACCGCATGCTCCTGAATGTGGAGCACACCCATCCCCATGCGATGGACAACTCGTCGAAGGCCATGGAGCTCCAGCAGCTGGCCGCCCGGCGGGAGCTGAAAAACAACCAAATCTTCCGGCGGACCCCCTCGGTCTTCAGGTCCTCCGAGCGCTTTGTTTGGTGGTGGGACGCCCCCCGGCCGCCGGGGCAGAAGTTTCACCAGAAGATGCTGATCCCGGCCGACAGGCTGATCATCCGCATGGCCGAGTCCCTGTGCCTGTCTTTTGGGCCGGAGTTCATGGACGCGGCGTTGGAGACACTGGGGCAGCTGGAGCCAGTGATGTGAGTCATGTTTTCTTTTTCCCCTCCTTCGCCCCTTCGCCCCTTCGCCCCTCCCTCCTCTCGCCCCCCTCGGGCTTTCGTCCATCCGCCCTGCCCTCGCCGCCTCTCCGCCCGGCCAATCCCCTGCTGACCCATGCCTCTCCTCGATGGCGTCTTCATGGCCTTCAGTCGTCAAATAAGTGGCGGCAACTCGGTCAACATCCTGCTTGGCCATCTGGATGCCGTGACTGTCGACTCCTTCATCGACCCTCACATTCCGAAGGACTATTGTGCGCCTGCCTTTTTTTCTTGCCTTCTCCCGCTGCGTTCATCTTTGCCCTCGCGTCTGGCTTGGCTGCCCTGGCTAGGCACTCATCCCCCTCGCTTCGGCATGCTCACCCCCCTGGCTTCGGCATGCCCACCCCCCTGGCTTCGGCATGCTCACCCCCCTCGCTTCGGCATGCTCACCCCCCTTGTCAGCAAATGCCCGAGCCATTTATGCCACCGTCCCGGCGACGCATCCCTTGAATGAGACGATCTACAGGATTGCCCGTACGCACCTTCCCCCGCCCCCCCCCCCCCCTGTGGCAACGCCATCTTCTTCGAGGGCGCCGAGCAACTGACCTTTGGCGGCCCTGTCTCCCCCCCTCCCTTCTCCCCACCCCCTGGGTGTTCTATCTCCACCCAGGGCTGATCGCATATGAGCTCTACCGAAGCGGGCTCCTACCATCCCCCGATCCCGGAGAGGTATGTGCATGGATGCGTGCATGGATGCGTGCATGGATGCGTGCATGGATGCGTGCATGGATGCGTGCATGGATGCATGGATGTATTGCCGCCTGGTTGCTGGTGTTTGCCATTCGGCCTGACCCTTTCCCCCTCTCCTCCTCCCTCTGTTGGCGGATTCAGCTACGGATGACCCTGGCCCGGGTTCCGCGCCGGCAATCCTCCTCGGGCGACTACAAGTCCTTCTCTTTCGATGCCCGGCCGATTATGCGGGCTTTCGGGCCGGGGACCGCTTTCGAGCTGGGATTCTTCACCATCGCCTCGCTCGAGCTGACGCGCTTGCATGGGACCCCGATGAACCCCGGGTCACTGAACTCCGAGCTTTCCATCCCCTTCGCCAAGAAGCAGCCGCCGAGCATTTCACAAGCACGGCTCCCGCAACTTCCGCCAGACCTGCTCCCGCCGAAGGACGCCCCGGCCAATGTTGCCCCACCGCCGGCGACCCTGGCCGCCTCTCGCGAGCAGGATCTCCTCTTTTCCCTGGCCACGTCCACCCTCCTGGCGCCCTCGGTGCCTGGGATGGTGGCTGGCCATGAGCGCCTCATCACTTCCCGATGGGCGCTTCCCGACCTTGTGCCCAATGCCCCGAGGGGGCTGCCCGCCGACCGGCGTGGGCTTGATGGTGCCGGCGGCGGCCCGGGCGCGCCTGGGGTTGCCCCCCCGCCGCTGGGGGGGTCGCCGTCAAGATCGCCCTCTGCCGCGCCGGCAGACGGCTCCTTCTCCTTTTACTCCTCCCCTCCCGCCGCCGCCTCCTCCTCCTCCTTCCCCTCCGGCCGTTACTTTGACGCTCCACTGCAACGTGCCCTTCCTCAGAATGCCCTTCAGTCCTTGACGCAGCGCCTGCCAAAGTCCCCGGCGTCTGCCCCGTCCGCCATCTCGCCCTTTGCCTCGTTCATGCCCAGCCGACCGGGCCCGAAGGATGCCCCTCCGGAGGTTGCCCAGCCTCGGGTGCTGGATCGGGCCGTGCCAACCGGCCGTTCGCCCCTGCTGGATGTGATGCCCAATTTGGACCTGCTCTTGAACAGCATCAGGGAGGTGGCGCAGCAGCGCCCGCTGATGCGGGAAAAGCACCAGAACCCGACGCACCAGCATCTCACCTCGCTGTCCTCGCTCTCGGATGAAGGCCCGGAGGCGGCCGAGGAGCAGGATGTCGTGAATATGACCATGGCCAGCGGCTTGGCCCTGGCGCCAGAGCCCCCCGTGCCATCTGGACAGCCCGACCCGCCGGTCGTGGCCCCGGCCCCGGGCGCCCCGACGGCTGACCGGTCCATCGACCGGTCGGTCTTGGACGCCGGGCTGCGGAATATCGGCCTCCTGCCATCAGGCACCAGGACGGGGCCGCTCTCGGCCGAAACCCGCACCCGGCCCAAGCGGCGCGGCAAATCCAAAAAGCGCGAGGCCGCCGCCGCCGCCGCCGCCAGCAGCGGCAGCGGCAGCGGCAGCGGCAGCGGCAGTGACCCGACTTCGGACCCCAAGTCGGGCGAAGGTGGCCCTTAGCCCGGCCCCATGGGCGTGTCCCCTCCTCTCGCGGGCTCCTCCCCCATGATGTGTGCAACTTTCGGCGCGGCGCCTGTCCTCCCGGGCACCCAATCATCTTTCTCTCCCAGTGCCCGTGTGTGCATGCGTGCGCGTGTGCGCGCGCACACGTCCCTGTGCAGTTGTA